ATGAGGAACAAAAAAGGGTAGAAAAGCAACCACTACCAAATGGTGGACACACTTTTAGCTCATATCCTCACTTCTTTTGTGGTAGCTTCTCTCTCTACCACATTAGAGCTACTAGAAAATCCAACTAATTGTCTGTCCTTCTAAATCCAATTCATCCCCTTGGTTTAACAAAAGCAAATGACCACCAATTACTTTTGCTAATAAAGGGGTCCCAAACCCACAAACAAAATCTAGCAACAGCAGCAGGTGTAATTTGAAAAGTGAGAGATGTAATGAGACTTGAAAGAATTTAATTGAAAAACTATGATCAAAGAGTGAATTCGGGCAGAATCATTCAACTCAAGTAGTCATGTGGAATAATTTGTCATTTACGATGGTCAAAACAGATATTGCTGCATAAATGACTTTTAACAACAGCTAGGCACTTTAGCAGCCTGTGAAGAATATGCCAAAGTAGAGGATGAAGGAAACTTGGAGGACAGAGCTCCTGGACAGAGTGGTCCAGTAACTCCTGCTTGTCACTCCAATCCATCACCAGCAGTTTATGAAGTTGGTCGGATGGCCACCTTCTGCTGTCACACTGGAAAATAATTCACGAGTACAAGCTCACAAATCACCTCTTTCCACAGGCAGCAGAATGAACAAGGCAACTTCTCCCACCAGCACAGCTGTCCCTGAAGAAACACATCCCTGAAAGCAGCCTCATCTGCCAGGGGCACCTGGGCCACGCCCTGAGAGCAGGTCTTGCTCTCTTCTCAGAGGCATCACCCTTTCCCAAAGCTCCAAGATGTGTCTCCTTGCATTTTCTTCTCAGCCTGTGCCCTTACAGACCAGTGTTCCAAAGCAAAAAGAGTGCTGAAGGAGCAGATAAACACAGCAGGTGTTTTTCACAACGGCACCTTTCCACCCTCAAAGCTATTGAAATATTGCTGTACATCAAGATGGAGTAAACTTGTTGGTAGGGCTGGGGAAAACAGGAAGATGCAGAAATTGCCTTTCAAAACCAACATTGCATTCTAAGTTTCGGGGGTTTTTTGCTTTTAATCTGAATAGTGTAACTGTTCTTTAATAAATGTTGGCATTTACAATACTCATTGAAATGCTTTCGATTGTTGATATTCCTAAATAACTGCAATTTTAATAAATTCTAATAATGTAGATTATCTGTAACTTTATATTAGTGCATTCAGTTTTTTCTAAATGGGTGCACTCTAATTTATTATCTAATTGAAAACTGAGTTTCTGTTACATTTTTACACTTTAAAACCCTAGATCACAGTTTCTAATTTCACCTGTTTGTCACTCTAAAGCTACCAAGAAGCAAAGTGAAATGGTATCAATATTTTTTTTTTTAACACAGACTGAAGGGTTACACGTTATTTGCTAAGAGATAACATTGTTGTCATGTTTCTTCAGCAAAAAAGGCTGACAAGACTTGTTTCACATCTGTCTGCATAATATAACAAACCCATGAAGAACTAGTGATGAAGAATCTGGTTTGTTGACAATCTATTATTGTTAAATGCACCCAAACACCAAGATTTAGGCACTGCTCATTAGCGTTGTATTGTAGCTCAGGATTTTTTCCCTATAAATACTTTGTGTCAAAATATTTTTCAAATATATTCTAGGCTGCAAGCCTTTCCCTTAGAACCCTGAAGAGCAACAGCCTCTGAAGCCCTTTATCAACTGACTCACACCCAGCTGTTCATTACCCATCACAGGCAGACAATGACACTGCCATCCCTGCGTCCAGCTGCCCCTTCCTGCAAATGCCATCTGACCTGTTTGCTTTCTGCTCTGCTCACCTACCAATACCACTCAGGTCCCTCTGTGTGTCTTCCCCTGGCCAGGCATCACACACTGATAGCTTTCAGTTTCCATCTAAGACTGCTGAGATTTCTTTCTTACAAATTATTTCATAGTTGCTCATATCATGACTTAATCACAGAAGAAAGGGAGGAGGAACTCCCCTCCTACCTCTAACTGACCCACTGAGATCTTCCAGTTGGGTCTGCAAAGGCCAGTAGGCAAGACAGGATCCAAGGAAAGCACGCTGTCCTCACAGGCACAGCCACTAAAACAACTGTGCTGACACTTTGGCCCAGGAAATTAAGGCAACACCTTCTAATAGCTCTAATGACATCACTGGACTTTGCTGGATAACTAAATAATAAGAGCAGGGTTGTGTCCCCAGCTGAAAGTCTCTACTTGAAATAAATCCTTAGGCAGCACTGATATAAATCCCAAACAGGCAGACATCCTTCACTCGGCCCACAGCTGCTCTCTTGCCTGCTGTTAACTTGGAGCAGGCTGGCCTGTGGGATCACATCTTCAGCAGAACTGCTGCCCCTGTCTGGGATCTCGTTAACTATTCTGATTAGTTTTACCAACAGCAAGTTAAAATGCTGCATCTGGCTTCTGCACATTGAAATTTTCCTAAAGCTTTTGATGTAACTTCTGTTATGACAGCACCGCATTTATTCTGATTTCAAGTTTCACTTTTTAGATGCCCGTTCCGCATTTAGCTACGAACAGCAAATATTTCATATTGCTACTTACATAACTACCAGAATCTTCACAAAGGATTAAAAACCTCATGTACCATATTTGATGTGACTTCAAAGAAGAAAAGATCTTTTTCTTACAATCAAGAGATAAATAACTTCATCCACCTAACTGGTGTATTTTGTACTGTGCACTTCAGCAAACGCCTCAAAAACTACAGGGAATCTAAGCCAGCTTCCCCTCTCTCCATGGCAGTGCATCTCTCCTTGCTCAAGGGAGACATGGAGTTACCCATTTCACTTTCAGAATAACTCTTCAATAACAATTTCAGGTTACCATGGCTGCTAGCAGTGCCCAACAGAGTCTTTCTGTTCAAAATCTTTATGTTACAGGAACTCAGATACTTGCCAATAAATGCCAATTCAGATGTGGTAATAAGTACCAGTAATAGAAACAGCATCACAAAGCTCCTTCAGAAGAAAACAGCAGGCAAGATCCTTTTCTTCACATCTGTGCTGCAGGCTAGCCGAGACAATTCTACCCCAGCCTTCAGCAGTATTTGCTAACAGGGATTTTAAAGACCAGCAGGTTCAGAATTCAGAGCTCTGGTTCTCCCTCTAGCTTCTCCTGGTACACTATTTTGATGAGAACTCCTTTTCAGACAGATAAAAAATGGGGCCCAGTGCAACACCAATTCCATTACAAGAAAGACCTGGACATACTGAGATGAGTCCTGAAGGACCACAACATTTATTCACATTTATTCAACCAAGACCCTGAGGATGTCATGTACCTGCTCCCAGGCTGTGATCTGACCTCAGGACCTCCCACCTGGCTTGGACAGCCACACAATACAAGCAATCCTTTGCTGTTTGTTGTACAAGTTTTCTTTGACCTCTCCCCCACAAAGATCTAAACCTACAGAGATGTAAAATTCACCAACTGAGACAAAACAAAAACAGGAGAAACAAACTGGCTCATTCAAGCTGTCATTTGTAGTTCTTATCCACATTTTCAGGTTTTCATTTACATAAACTTACTAGCCTCTTTCACATATCTAGAGAGATTCAACCAGATATGTCTCCCAAACATTTCCATCTGGAAAAGGTGTTTACAAACATATGTGCTTTTATAAACTAAACAAAATTTAATGCAATATGAATTCACACCAAATTAAAAGAGGAAAAATTTTCTCTTTCTCAAGCATTTTGCAAAAAGGAGAACACTTACATATTTCATACTTACATTTTAATAATACAGATAAACTTTTTAATAAGACAAATAACAGTAATAAATACTATATTTAGTTTAGGACAAATTCCTTAAATTGTGAAGTATAAATACACCACAGTGTTTAAATAATGAAGCGAACACATGACTTCTAGCAAGGTCATGATGAGAGGGAGAGCATAGAATATCCGTCATGAGGAACTGAGTTAAATGCATCTCATTTTCACTTTGTCAAATTTAGTTCACATTCTGGTTGAAGACTAGCATGCTACTTAGGGTAGCAGCTACCCACAAAGCAGGTATTATATCTTCATGCATTATATCTTCTTTCATATCTCAGGTCTAGGATCAGGTAGGTCAAATCAGTACTTTAGAGCTCTGTCCATGGCCAAAAATGGACAATAAAGGGTCACAAGACATAGGGCACACAGGGAAAAGAACTCACTGAAAATGAGGAATAATGATAAGAATAAAAAATCAGATTCCACTCAAAATAAAGGGAAGACTTTTTTCAAGAACATATTAGAAACATCATATGGAATAATTCAGTTTGATATAAGAAAGAGGAATTCTACCAGTCACTGCTTTGAGTAGGGCCCTATTTTAATCAGTATGTGGGGAAGATACCTAACCATTTGTTTTTATGATATTGTGTGAAAGGCTGAAGAAAACCTCAACTGTTTCCAGGTACTTGCAAAGACACAGAAGGCAAAATAATAATTATAGATGTCATACTGTACAATGAGATGAAAAGGGAGCAAGAATATATCAGTAGACAATACTTATTTTAGCTGTTCATTTTTGATACCTGGCAAAAATAGACAGAAAAATACTGTTGTCTGGTAAATACTGCATGGAGTCAGAAGCATAGAGTGTATCACCTCTTGACAAGCAGGTTACTTTGTTTTGACAGTCCAATATTGCTAACTTCATTCTTGGAATAGGTTGTGCCATACTCTTCACTAAATACAATCCCTAGACTAGAAAAGCTGATCACCATAAATCAAAGGAAAGCTTAAAAATATGGAGCATTTCTGGGTTTTGTACAGAGCAAAAGGTAGAAATGCTCTTCTGTGGAATTTTAGAAGATCTTGATATAAATTTCCCTGAGTCTGGGACAGCTCAGCTACTGGGATTTGCTTTGGACTTATTTCTGTCAAATAGATTCACTGACAGATTTCACTGACATGTGAATACCATTTTTTCTTATTATTTCAAAGCTTTTTTTTTTTTTCCTATTGGCAAAGAAATAAGATTCTTACCAGTAACCTTGAATTCAACCGTCCTTCGTATAAGCTTCCCTTCAAACTTTAGTTCACAGGTATAATTTCCTCCATCTTCTTCCTGGACCTCTTGAATTAACAGAGTATTTCCCTTCTGAATTACAACACTTCTCCACATTTTTGGCTTACATTCCTGCAGGAAAGAATCCAGTGCCAAAATTACTGGGCTTGTACAACATAAGACGGTGTTGCCTGATCAGATTTTCAGTATTATACATAAGGAAACAACCACCTAGATATATTTTGCAATTAAAATTCAAATATAATTTCAGAAAGCAGAGAGATCTGAAACTGGAATTAATTTGAGGACTGAAATTTAACAGAAATGTTTTTAAGGTTCAGTTATTCCTACTGTATCACATGGGCTGTGTTTAATACATGGTGCCCTCAAGCAATGGTTAAGTATCTTCTTTTTCTTCATAACTACTGCCAAGACCTCTCCTTTAGGATGGACCATTAAAATACATCTCTGTTTGAAGGGAGTAAGGGCAACATCTGTTAAGAGTTAGCCTGAAGGCAAATCTTATACATAGTCCCAGGCCAGAACCATTTACCAATAGAAGAAAACAGGAAGAACAGCAGTTTTTTGAGAATTCAGAAGCCTGATTTCCTTACAGCCTTATTTCTCATCACTGGCTTCTCCAGCACCTGATGAGCTTTGATTCAGTCTTTTCCCATCACCTGGCTCTTTGCAACATCATCCCCCCATGCACCCTGTGATGCAGGACATGGCACTGACAGCCTGCAACTCTCACAGGCTTCACCCACACAGTCCTTAGCTGCTGTTTGGCAGATTTAGGTTCATTGCTACAAACTGTGGTCCTGCTGGAACCACGTTTGAGTCCTTCTGGATAAGGTGTGATACAGTGCATGAAGAGGCTCTCCCTTTCCTAACATACTGGATCCTTGTAGGCAGATCAGTCACTTTCCATGTGAGCAGCACTCATGATTGAATCATTCTTGGAATGCTCTGAACTAAAAGCACGATCCAAATCTAATCATTGTCTCTTGAAAATAACATCTTAAGATTATGTATTTATGTAAGGTATTTATTGCCTCTAAATACCTTTAACATCAAGCCTGTCCTCCCTGCAACAAAACCATACTTTTCAAGTTCTCTAAAGCACTCAGCAGTCCCAGCAGCTCCAGAGGCCCTGGCTAATCCTGTACCCAGGAAACACAAACCAACATAGGGCCTGAGTGCCTTCAATGCCTCTCTACTCCCTCTCTCAAGGTGGCAGCTTGGAATAAGCTCTCAGACTGCTGCAGTCTCACATCAGTTACATCAGGCTCAGCAACTTCAGAGACTGGTGACATGCCCACACCTATGCCCCATTTTCTGCTTGTCTGCAACAGCAGTGTCAGAAACACAGAAAACAAAATAGAACAAAGCTTTCTCTTAAGAAAACAACCAAACAAGAAAATACGTCAACATGCAAATATATTGTACCACAGTAAGAGATCAGCACGACACAAAAATAAATCTTTCATGGACTCCATACGCATTCCAAATCCATGTCAGATTCTAAATTCAAGGACCATGACAGAGAAATAAAAAGACAGGACTGAGAGTTTCTGGCCTTGCACTTGTAATGGGAGCACTAAAGAATTCTGTCAAAATTCAGGAGGCCAAATTCAGTCACAATACAATCAGATTTCAGATTTGAAGCTGTGCAACACTACTGCAGGTACCAGAGTGATCAGCACATCCCTCTGTTTCCAAAGAACAGCTGTAAGGGAAGAATCATCTTGTCTCGCAAGTGAACTTTAGTTAACACTGGTGATAGAGAATAACCAGAACCCAGATCCCATCTACTGTGCTGAGACTCACTCAGGACACAAATCTGAGCCAGGAAATTAAATCCTTTCTGATTTGAGTTCGAAATTTTGGATTTATTGAAAGGTACATCAACCACCTACTCAGTGTAACTAAATCTGAACACTGGGCAAAGAATACGATTCAGTCCTATTCAATCCTAATTTAGAAGGAATACAATTCCCAGAACACACAAAGTAAGCATATTTCAGAGATGCACCCTTTAGTGCAGCACTGAAATAACCTGTGTTACCAGTTTTACATTCGCTACTTTATTTTTAAAAGCATGGGAACAAAGAGATGGAAGATACATTTTTATACGCTTTATTTTTTTATATAAAGCATATAAAAGTTTGCAATAAGAAAGATGACACTACAGGAGTAGAAGAAAGATTTACTACTACAAAGAGTAATAATTTAGCAAAAACAGTCTATGTGGTATTGTGGTTTTACATACAGGAGTTGTTTTGGTGGAATTGTACCACTTTTTTGTATCTTCTTGAAACACTTCCTATTAAAGATTATTTATAAGCCTTTCCTTCCCAAATTTCAGCTAATTATTTTTTATTCTGCTGACTATGCAGGCTTTACAAAAGTAAAAAGTGAAAATGCTTGTTTATATATTTAATACACAAAACTAAAAGCAAAAAAAGGGGAGAAGCTGGAAAATGGCTGAGAAACAAAATTCTTACTGGTTTTTATATTTTGAAAACAATCTAGATTTCACTGTCTGAGGTCTGCTGATTTCCCTAAAAGGTAAGTGCTCAATTGTATGATTCCATCTCATTTAATGGAATCACAGTTTAGGTTGGAAGGGACCTTACAGATCATCTCTTTCCAACTCCCCTGCATGAGCAGGGACAGCTTCCAGTAAACCTGGCTGCTACAAGCCCCATCCAACTGGGGTTGAACCCTTCCAGGGATGGGGAGTCCACAGGTTCTCTGGGCAACCTGTGCCAGTGCCTCACCACTCTCACAGGAAAAAAATTAATATCTAGTCTAAACCTACCCTCCTTCAGTCCAAGGCCATTCCCTCCTGTCCTTTCACTACACGCCCTTGTGGGAAGTCCCTCTCCAATCATCTTCTAAGCCCCCTCCAGGTACTGGATAGTGCTCTAAGTTCTCCCCAAAGGCTTTAAACAATTAATTGTTCTTTTCTGCTTTTGCAATATCTTTACCTGCTAGAAGAATCTGCAAGTTTCTTTTTCTAGACTATTTACTTTCCTTAGACATCTGAAATGTATGGGGTTTTTTTCTCCCAGTAATTAAGGTGTGCACTATTATGCTTCTTTTTGCCTTTGTTGAAATCTAAGTGGCAGTACCTCAAAAGTCTATTTTTCTGGGTAGTTAACAACTACTGGTCCTTTACCTGATATTTTGATTATTCTCTTAGCCCTCCTTTCAACCCAGTACTAGAAAAGACATGATGGAAATGGATTAAGACTCCACACTCAAGATGTAATATACCTTTTCTCTCTCCCAGCTGATTTTTCATGAAACTGCTCTTACTCTTAAATCCCATTCATTCAATCATGCCTTGACACATACATTCTTAAAACAAAATCCCACACGTCTTGTCAAAACAGTTCTAATAGGCATAACTGAGCTGAGCATATATCAATGGCATTACTTGGGGAAACCTTTAAAAATAAATATTTAATGCAGTGTAATTCTAGCCAGAAGTGAAGTTCATACTACTGTTAAAACAAATCCTCACAGCAAATGCCATATTATGTACTGGGTGTGCACGTGGAATCTATTCAAGCATAATTAAGAGCATGTTTAAATTACAGTTAAGTCCCAGTAAATTGATGCAATTACTAGCTCAGATTCATTAATCCCTCAACATAGAGAAGCCTTTTGGAAGGCAGAGCAGGTTCTGCACACAGTGAGCAGGCATCATCACTGTCCTCTCTTATGGTATTTCGTAGGTCACAAGTCCAAACTCCCTGACTACCAGTGAATTGGCAGGTTCTCATGAACACAAGGATTTCTCTTTTCAGCAGAACGAATAAATAAGGAAATCTCAAAGACTTCCTCATATTTATTTATCTACCTAGTGTTCTGTTTCAAACAACTTATGCCACTTACACTATTCTTTCACTTTACACTATTCTTCAGGAGAAGGGACCTGCTTTTTGTTACTCAACATTACCTCCCACAGCATGATCTTAAGTCCCCCTGCCTGGGTGAAAACCTCTAAATATTCCAGGATAATGGAAAGGAATAACCCCTCCTCCCACTGGCTCCCCACCAGTGCCTCTGGAGTATATTTACTCAAGAAGGTGGCTTTATATACACATCAAGCTTAAAATCCACTGGATTTTAAGGAGAATCCAGTGTGCTATGACCAGAAATGGATGCCTTCTTTGGAAAGTGAGGGTCAGATCCTAAGGCAGGACAACACTTTACACTATTCTTCAGGAGAAGGGACCTGCTTTTTGTTACTCAACATTACCTCCCACAGCATGATCTTAAGTCCCAGACTGCAGTTTGTAGAGGTTACCCCAGTATTCACCAAATTATTTTGAAATCAATATAATTATATATTTTCTAGAAATTTTACTTCTACTCTTTTGAATATGCAGACTTGTATTAACAATAACATAATAGTCTCCAGAATATCCAAAACTCTGTTCAGAAATAAGTTTCAAGGGATAACCTGACATTCACATCTTCTGTGCAACATTAATATTGTGATTGTACACTGCTGAGCTTCCTGAATCAGGTCTAGGTAACAAAGATATTTCTCTAAGAGCCAAACTGATAACTCATAATTGTTCATTATAGATAAGAAGGTGTATGTAGTAGGTAATCTCACTCATGTCTCTTTTCACTATCAAGCCAGACTAAAGGTTGTTGACTGCAATTGTCTCACTGTTATCATCCAATGACATAAAGTCTGTTCAGTTTCACCTCAGTGATGATTTGTCAGTCAGCTGCCACACTCCAGCCTGGTGTCACACAACACGGGTGAGATTCTGGAACAGACCCTCCACTCCCTGTCGTGGTCAGTACATCACTGGTGTGGGGCTGCACACGCATCTTCTTTAGACTCATTTCTGCTCCATGACAGCTAAAGATCATTTCTGCCAGACTATTTTTCAGTGTGCTTTTGCAAAAAATTGGGATCTTCAGTGTTCAGTTAATACTGAGGCAGAGAGGGTAAGAAGCAGCTTCTCTTCAGTATCCTCTCTGCTCTGAGATTTCAGACTTCATGTGCAGAGCCAGGAATTGCAATCAATGATCCCTGTGAGCTCCTTCCAACACAGGATATTCTATGATTAACTAAATATATCTAATTGACATATGAACAGCACTGAAGATATCAACCCATATGCTGAGAGAAAGAGCTTCAACTGTTGAAAGAAAAACTTTGTTCACGCTAACAGTGGATTATGGCACACATTTTGTTACTATAAGACATAACATATGAGATTTCTGTAAAAAACCAAATAATGACAACTTTTATAGTTGCTCTTTTCAGCTGCAACCTGCTAAGGAGAAAAAAAGTCTGCTAGTCTGCCCATATTACTTATTTCATGCAAAATAATTATCTTTAAATATGTTATTAAGGTTGGGAAATCAAGGACTCCAAATTTAGATTTCAACTAGTTTGTAGGTTTCTGTCTGTATTACCTGAACCAAGCTTATCCTAAACTCCTACAATCCAAACTCTATTTTCCACAGATCCCACTGAACTGTTCCTGTTGCCCAACTATTTCTGGCTCCTTCTGACTCTCAGTTCTTTATTCTTCTCCACTGTTTCTTGCATCATTAGTTGAGGGCATTAGCCCTCAACTAATACCTAAGGGCTTTTCAAATATCAGACTCTGACCCCAGTCAAGACAACAGGCAAAATTTGCCAGACCTTGCTATGGTCTCATTACCTGATATTTGCCAGCCAACCCATATTTTACTCATTCTGCTTTCTTGGGGAGCTACAGAAACACATAACCAATACATCTGCTGATGAAAGTCGTGTATGATACTTGACACTCCTTGGAGAAGGTGCAGGCAGAGTTACCTGGAAAGTAGTAAAAGTATCTAACTGACCTCAGTTAAAATGAACTGACTTCATTACAGTTACTCAATGAACTTCAGCAGACTTCTGTGCAGACTCCAGGAGACACTGGTAAAAATTTACAAGTCTTGGTGAAATTAGCTAACAGACCCCATAAAAATTAATTGGCAGCACAAGTGGAGCTGGTGGTGCTGATACACCTTTGGCTCAATTGCAGGTGCTCCCTTGGTTTCTACTGCAGTGTTGTGCAGGGAGACACCACACCCAGGTACAAACTGGTACAGAGGCACTGTGGTTTGGGAATGTGGTACTGCTGATAGAGGAGTCCTGTGAGCACTCTCACAGAACATCCTCACTGATACTGATTTCTGTTGGACAATGACTATGCTGGGTAGTTTTACCTGCGAAACTGTCATACTGGGAAAACACTCTCCAGACCAGTCACAAACCACTGATGCCTCAGGGAAAGTCAGCTCTAAGCCTCAGATTGAAAACAGTGAAAGTTTTGAACAGTTTCAGCCCAACAGCAATAAGACAGCAATAGTTACCTTGTACCACACCACATCTGGCTCTTGACTGCCTGTTTTGTAATCCTCTATATCAGGACAGGAGATTGTCTTCCTCTTAGTGACTTCTGATTTTTCCAGGTATCTGATCTTGCTGTTGTAGCAAAGCCCAGATTCATTCTCAGCTACCGTCAAGGACATGGACACCTTCATGCAATATGTTGAGTTTCTGCAAGGACAGAAAGATGGTTTCATTCATCCTGCCTTCTTTTCACCATGTTTGTTTCAGCACAGAAAGTTTCTTTGTCAAGCTCTCATTTCCACAAACACTTGAGTGACACATGCAAACAGTGACAGCCATGCTGTGCATTTCCTGCACAGAAGAATTACTAGGAAACGAAGGCTCACTTCTGACTGACTGTGAAGACTATGAAGAACCTTGAAGAAATATTGTTGACAAGTGATCCAACCCAGCACAGCAAGCTCGAGCTTGCAAGTCTATGAACACAGGAACCTGTTGGCACCTCATATGTTGGTCAGGATACACAGTCTCATTTCCTCTGTATCCCCCCCCACACTTATCCTCACCCTTGTTCTCTCCCACCTTCAGGAGATTTCACTCCAGTGTGCAGTGCTATTCGTTTGAGAAGAAGGGTTATGTGCAGGATGTTAAATCACATCACACAGGAAGGATTTCTCCCTGAGAAGGAGCCCCTGTACAAAATTCTACAGCACATTACTGTGGTGGGTTGACCTGGACCAGCTGCCAGCCTCCCACCAGCTGCATCCTTCACTTTCCCTCAATGGGATGGGGAGTAGAAAATAAAGTGATAAAGCTAATGGGTCAAAAAGAAGACAAGGAGACCACGCACCCATTACTGTCACAGAAAAAACAGACTTCACTTGGAAAATAAATGTTTTTATATATTTTGAAATATTTTTCTGACACTAAAGATGCTGACTGCTCACTTCCACCAACTAAAACCAGGACAGTGTTTTTAATTTAAAAAAAGTCCAAAATGTTCCATGACAAATCTTCTCTTACATTTCCTTCTGTCAAGGCAGCCTGCAGTTGGGAAGAAAATAAAAAGGTCTACAGGGACATTTCAGCAGAGCTCGAAGCTTCATGCTAAACAAGTGCTGGCAAAACACTACAAATGGGTTCCTGTCAAAGGTGTGGCATGAGCAGGCATTGGCAGACAGAGCCATTTGCAAGGCAAATCAGGAGGCAATCTTCAGAAACATCCCATTTTCAGCATCATTAGTGTTATGCATTCAGCAAAACTACAGACTTCGTCCTTCCTTCTTACTTCTCCTCACAATGCCACCTGCACATCTGTAATAAAATTGGTGGATATTTTGTCCATTCTCTCACCTCTGAGTGAAAAGGCTCACTTTGCACACTGACAGGATGTGTTTCAGTTGAGAGTCTATAATAAAGTCTCATTCTCACAAACTGCACAAAACATATTATTTTACCTGAAAGAAAATTTCTCTGGACTGAAAACAATCCATCATTTGGGGTGGGCTTATAAAATTTAGGGAAAATAAGTCAACTTTCTCCTAAATTACCTTTTGAAAAGGGCTGCCCTTCTTGTAGGAAGAAAACAAAACATATTTGAGAGTTCTTACAGCACTGAAAATCCACAAAATATGGATACAACCACTCAGTGTAATCAATAGTAATTAATCAGTCATGATTATTTAGCTTACCTGAACGACTGTAAGTATTACTGAGTGCAAGTAAGGTCACATGTGCTCAGTAATAATGATCCTGGCTAATAAAAAATAATGTCTTTGAATAGTTGTCCATTACTTGGTGTTATTTAATAGTGCTGTATTTTCTCCTAACAATCTTGCATTATTTAGATTGCATTTTGAACAGCGCTGGAGGCTACTTCTATTTAAAATGCTTCCTGGAACCACAACCTAAAAATGCAGTATGCTTTTCATTAGTTACAATTAGAATTGAGGAAACTAAGTGCCTGGGGAGTACTATCACTTTTGTTCACACTCTATGACCAAGACAATAAATCTATTCAGGCTCACGATGAAGAAAGCCCCCACTATGCCAAAAGCAATAAACTTGAAAGCTTCATGGATGGTTCTTCACCATCCACTCACATTACTGCTACTGCTGGTAATCCAGAAAAGGGCAATTTCTGCAGGAATGTCAATGACTGAAGCAGGAGTCTTCCTTTAATCTAGTCAGCTCTGGAAAACACTGATATTTCAAGGCATGTGCAAAAGGAACCAGTAGCTTGATCAGCCTTGCTGTTTTTCTCAGTTTTGAAGGATAAGTCTGGGATCTGAAGTCGGCTAAGTCGTGAGCCATTCCTCGCTGTGCTGGGCAAGCTGTTCCCCAAAGCTGGGCCGTTAGATTTCATCTCGCAGTTCTCTGAGCAGCTGATGCATCTGTGCTGATTTTTTCTTGGTGTCTTCCCTGCCTTGTGGGTTCTGGAGGCATAAAGGGGCTCTCCAAAGTTGACAGCTTGAGGGAGAACTCAGGAGGGGGATCACAAAGAGGATTGGTACAACTTTGTTTTTACCACCTGGCAAGCAGACAGGACCAGGGTGGGCCTGGCCACACAGGGCACTGATGGGAGCCCTCCTAAAGAGTTCTCTCAGGAAGGCCATAGAGCTGCTGTGTTGGGAAGGCATCCAGCTCTTTTTTTTCTTCCCAATTGTTTTCAGGATCCCTGTGTCCACAAGTGCTCTCCTTCATGACCTGCATTTAAGTTGTTTATGGTAAGGGTCTTTTTCAATTTTTTTTTTTAATTGGTGGAGGTACATAGATAAACTAGCACAAACCCCATGTTTTTGCTTTTCTTCTTTCAGACACTAAACAGATGGCCTATGAATTATTAATAGGAGGATCCACTTTTGTTTTCAGTACATGGTCATGGAGCTTGGTGGGGGAGGTCAGTGCTCCCAGCCGTGTCTGGCTGGCAGGAAAGGTTATATGGCCATTTCTGATGTGGAAAGGCAGCTACAAGAAGAACAAAAGATAACAGCAAAGCTACAGGTAACCTGGGCTTTGCTGTCAGAAACAGTGGCCAAGAGGAATGAAAAGCAAGCAGCTTCCAGGTGGGTGAAGAAGATGCTGGAGGGCTTCCAGTGGTGATCTTAGTACTGTGTGAGGCCAGGTAAGAAGAGTTGTATCTAAGTAGCAAACGTTGGAGCCCACAATAAAATGTCAGGCAACATTTTCCATATACATGTAAAGGAAATACAAACCCATGGGTCTGGAAGTGGGTCTTTCAACCATTTGTCTTTTCTGAAAAGTTTCCAAACCATTCATTTTCCATAGGAGTTGATTTCTAGTGGGTTCTAATTCTATAAGAAGTAGTAGTGGTCATATGTGGAACAGGAAGAAGGAAGAAAAGAAAGAACCACTCCACAGTGCAAAGAAGAAAAATTGTCTTGAATTTTCACACTGAAACTACGATCTGTAATTCTCTATTCCAAGGGAATAGTTACACACTGGGCCTACTCTCTTGACTGCAAATAGGAAGAAGGGCTTAGCTTTGCCAGAGTTCACAAAGCAGTTTCCTTTGTTCTGGTGGCAAGGCATCTGTAATCCCCAGGCCACCTGGAGCTGGCTCTGAACCACAAACTGAAGCCAGCTTCGAACCAAATAGAAAAGCAGAGGGAGAACCAAGGGAGTCTAACAGGTCTAAAAACAAAAGCAAGCAAAACTGTGTTTGGCTTGATTGCGAAGTAAGGACAAAAGGAAAAAAGGAAGGATATAAAGAAATGGATAAGGACATTTGAAACTGGAGTTTCAGTCCCTAAATTATTTTTCATCTTGTTCTGGATTCAAGACAATTAATCAGCCCCAAGGCTGAATTCAAATTAAAGTAAATATTCACAACTTTTGAAAAAAAACCCTTTTGTTTTTGCATTTGTGTTTCTGCTAAGTGAGGGTGGTTTGTTAAAAGAGTCAAGTAGAAAATTTTTGTCTCTAATATACTCAGAATCACCCCCAGCCACCCCCATTTATTGATTTTCTTATAAAGAGGAAAGGCAGCAGAAATGTTGTTGAATATTTTATATCTACTAGATTGAAAAATCCCACCTAATTTTGATCTGCATATTTATACAAGAGGATTTACACTAGGTTTTTTCCCTTTACAGATTCATTTTTCATTGTACTGGGTTTTTTATTACGTTCTAAGACTTCAGCGGTAGATCCAAAATCTGGGAAGTGTATTTATCAAAGCAGCACTCAGGGAACAGCACACCTCAGGCTTAGATCTCTCTCCATGTCCCTGAACACTCTGACTGTTTTAATGGCATTTTTATTGGCTCACTGACTGCAGGACTGAATAGATCGACTTGTACATTCATCTTAGCTCATTCTGAGTTTGAGCAAAACAGCAATATCTTGGTTTGAAGGACAGGTGTCTGCCAAAGAAGGTAAGAACCTCCCTTAGAACAGAAAATGCTACCCCCTTCCCTCCAAATTACTATAACTTTGAAACTACGGGTCTTTCAGGCGAAGACACAGGACAGTGTGTGCATGTGTGTGACCCTGCGCGCAGCAGCCCCGGCAGCCCCAGCGGGCAGAGCACAGCCCCAGCCCAGCCTGCCTTGGCTGCAGTTCCGGGCACGGCCAGCAGGGGCGCTGCTGGCTCCCGGCCGGGCAGGGGGCGATGCTTCCCCGCGCCTGCAGGGGGCGCTGTGCCGCCAGCTCGGCCGCGTCTCCCTCACGCGCTGATGGCGGGCGGGCTGGATGGCGGCCTGGCTGCAGCAGGAACCTCGGAGCGCAGCTGGGGCGGCAGAGACGGGCACACCCGGGGTGGCAAACAAACTGTAGCAGAAACTCCACAGCTGTAGCAGCAGCCACGGGGCGTCCTGCTGGACAAGGGATGCTGAGTTTAAAGTGTAGCAAAAAAGCTGGAGGCAGTGCAGGAAACACCCAGGCTGGGCAGCAGCCGCAGGGTTTCTGCAAGCAGGTGCCGCACACAGCCGGGAGACACGGCCTCTGGGAAGGGGGAGAGGGTCAGGATTCCAGGTTTTTCCCCTGAAGCACCTGAGTAGATGGTGAGGGCCCTTTCCAGTGTGATCAGGTTTTAATAAGGTCCCAGTTCAGTGGCTGCTCTTAGGAGCAAAGGCTCACCCGCAGCAGGAGAAGCAGTACAGGGCTGGACGCCACGGCGGCACAGAATTCTCCTCATAGTAGTAGCAACTTGACCATTCCCCTCGAATCTGAGAGAGAAGGAGATG